ATATAGAGAGATGGATAGTATGAATATATTATGTATATAGCCCCATTACACCATTGATAAAGTCCCCCTACATAAAAACGATACTGTAAGTAAGGTTCGGCCGATCGAACGACATCGACACTATTTTAGGAGTGACCATACCTGTCGAAGAGATCAAGTAAAGCGATGTGCAGTATTGGAATTTATGCTCGTTCATGAGTTTACATACGAATTCGAGTAGAAATATAGAGCAACCAATGAGAATTTCCCAAAGTTTCTCAGAATTCTCATTTCGTCACAAACAAATGCAGCCGACCAGGTTAAGAAGTAAAGTGATGGGCTTAAGAAGTAAAGTGATGGGCTTAAGAAGTAAAGTGATGGGCTTAAGAAGTAAAGTGATGGGCTTAAGAAGTAAAGTGATGGGCTTAAGAAGTAAAGTGATGGGCTTAAGAAGTAAACTGATGGGCTTAAGAAGTAAAGTGATGGACTTAAGAAGTAAAGTGATGGGCTTAAGAAGTAAAGTGATGGGCTCAAGAAGTAAAGTGATGGGCTTAAGAAGTAAAGTGATGGGCTTAAGAAGTAAAGTGATGGGCTTAAGAAGTAAAGTGATGGGCTTAAGAAGTAAAGTGATGGGCTTAAGAAGTAAAGTGATGGGCTCAAGAAGTAAAGTGATGGGCTTAAGAAGTAAAGTGATGGGCTTAAGAAGTAAAGTGATGGGCTTAAGAAGTAAAGTGATGGGCTCAAGAAGTAAAGTGATGGGCTTAAGAAGTAAAGTGATGGGCTTAAGAAGTAAAGTGATGGGCTTAAGAAGTAAAGTGATGGTATAAGTCCTTACCCAAGCTTTTGATGACGTCGTCTCTGACCTTGGGCGTTGAAGTAGCCGTACACGCCAACAGTGGTACATTCGGGCACAAATTTCGGAAGATTTGCAGACGTCTAACAATGGTCAAAAAACGTCACGCGCCACGAAATTCCTAAAGTGTTGTTACCTATAAGCCGGTCGGAAGTCATGACCCCATTGCGAAATACAATGGGCTTCATCTATGGCAACATACAGGAGAGTGTTGTTGGCCGCTACTCTCTGTAGGATGTTAT